ACCATTATTTCCAGTATGATGATGGTAACAGTTAACATTGTGACCGTAGATATGTCATTTTAGACACTGAGGTGAATCACTATAAGTCTTATTGGATAATTCAACTTAAATTTTTGTGTGCAACATTGATGATTCATTAAGAATTATTTTATCATTTGTATTTGGATTAATTTCAACAAAGAACAGCGGAAGCGTATGCCCATTTTGAAATTCATTTGCGGGAATCTAATTCTAATAGGGCATCTGATATATATATATATATATATATAGTGACCTGATGTTTTTATATTGATGGTAAACAATAGATTCTTTGGTTATATTATGAACGCCACAAGAGGTGTCGAGTTTGATTTCTTTGTCCACTTCGCTCGAAAAGACAGCGAAACGATTAGGTGAAACTAATGGTTTAGTGTTTTTCCCCGTATTGATAGGAGAATTAGGCTATGATAACAGCGACCGTTTGGATTTGGTAGTTAGCGGAGAGGATATGTTGTCCATCTTGAAAGTGAAGTCACATAAATATAATACCGTGAACTAACTAATTTAACTTAAATAAACTAATAAAGTAACTTAACTAAAATCGCGGTAACGGAACGGGCAAATTATAATCACACTAACATGCGATCGTGTTACAAGTCAATATCAAACTGATTGTTCTAATACTTATTAATTACTATTAAAATGGCATGATAAATTACTTCGGTCACCGTTGAAGATTTGATACTACTCTGTTTTTTAAACGGTACAGTCCCAATTGTGTTGTATGTCCTCGAAACTGGCAAAGCTGGAAATACAATATCATAGCTGTTGCCATTATCCTTAGCACCTCCTAAACTAGGTACAGACACCGTTGACACAATCTCCATCATTGTAATTGTTGTTCTAAAGAGGTACTGAATTACTTTTCTAAAACAAAATCTTAAAACTCTAAAATCAAAATGCGAATGAATAGAAAAATTTAATTTATTCGAATTTGATATCAATGTTCAATCAGTATTATGCTTTAGAAAGTGATTTTATACGTCATATAAATCAACTAAATATTCTTCTATAACTATAAACAACTAACAAACTAAATCACCAATAGTTACAAATATACAAAATATAATTTAATATCGATTAATAACGACTAATAATGCAATTTTTTTAAGTCTGTATTATCAAACGATAATCGATTGAAAAAATAAAATGTTCATATAAAAATCAAAAATGTATTTAAATATTAAGAAACTATTAAATACCATAAAAATGGTATCATAAGTACTCAGTTTTGGTTTTGAATCGCTACGAATAATATATTTTATAAAATAACAGCATAATGACTAATATCGTACAAGTATAATTGATACTTATTAAAATGTCCAATTCCATCAATTTATAATTTTCTTAAGTTTATAAAACTATTTTGTGGCTTTCCGGTATATTTGTTTTTGTTTTACTGCGTTAAAAAATGTTATGAAAAATCTTGTATCTAAATTTCAACTTTTAATTATAACATTTTTTTAAGCTTTTTTAAATAGAAAAATGTAGCGAATTCTTCTTTTTTTTTGTTGAGTTTGGTCCACATTTAATGATAAATCACGCTCAATTGTTTTACTCCTATTTATTCGTTGGAAAATATGTAAAAAAAGCTTTTTATTACGTTTTTAAAAATATTTTTTCAGAATTTACCATCATTTTACCATATTTTATCTTTGACGAAATAATTACGAATGCTTGTTATGTTGAAACATAACATATATTTATATCTTAAAAAAAAGGCTTTATCTTTGGAAAATTATACCGGTTATTATTATTTTTTGGATTACGATAAAAAAAAATGTAATGTTACTGTAACACTGTATTCCATAAATATTGTCACTTATTTTTTTATAGTTCTTCGATGGGTTTTCGTAATTGTTAAAAAAAACTGTTGGAAAATTCGTAAATCTACCTCCCCTTAATGTACTAAGATAACGAAATTTTCATTTTTTCTTATAATTTTGATTTCTCTTTTTGGTAGAAATCGTGCAAAAAACCATAGTGGTTGCCTATATGAGCATCCTGCAAGGATAATATCTTCGCTTGTCAGGTCACCGCCACATTTATATCAACGGGCATGACGTCCACAAGCGATCCACAGAACAAAGCCTTGGCCCAACCAACATTAGAAGCTGAGCGCGACCAAAACCCATTAAACTCAAAATCCAAACACCTAGTTTGTGGCAATGATTTTGCCTCTTTAAATGGATATTTGGCAAAAGCTTTGTAACGATCAAAAATAGATTAGTGTCCGTGTTGGTTTTTCTCATTAAATCATAACCATCTTAAATAAATGCGCGACCACTTCATCACCTATAACACCGATTGACGAAAACACTTTGGAATTCCCTCCGACTTCTGTAATTGCATACCTCTCTATCCGGTTGTGTGTGGTATGTTAGTGGGTGGCCATGTAGTAATTGCATGATAAATATCGGCCAATTATTATAATTATTATTATTATTATTATTATTTCAACGAGCCAGTTTTCGTATAGTTCTGGAAAATATTATACTGGCTCACTTTTTGTGTAGCTGTTCCGTCGTCCACAACATGCACGAGTAAACCGGACCATGCCGGTGCGTCTTGGGACGACGACCAATCATCGAATTGGTCGGTAATGTATTATAAAAAAAAATTATATTCTTATTATTATTATTATACCTTGTCCGGTATTCGTCAGTGCACTAACTCCATGGAGTTTTCCCCACTATTACTAATTTTTATAATTCCGCGTTTGGAAAATTCGCCATGTTTTAAAGGCAAAACTATAAAAAGGTGGAGGTTTTATGCCCGTACGAGCTTTCCTCCATCATGTAAAAGTTTTTTTTATAATATATTTATATTCATCTATAATGTATTTTTCTTTATTAATCCTTTTCCTTTATTTATGAATAAGGTGTAAATGACCACGATAGTAAAATCCAATTACTCCGGCCCCAAAAAGGGTTTCGGTATTTGGTTGGCGACCCATGTACCTTTGAAGGTGATCGTCAACGGGCGCTCGACAGAACTTTCTGTACTGAGATGTCGCAGCTTCTCGTCCAAGTGCAGTCATCAGAGTTCAATAACTGATCGATACAACGCCCGCGACACTCATTATAAAATCAATGATGATAACTAGAGCTCGAATGTTTAGGACTTGGCATATTTTTTTCGTACAGCCAGAACAATACCCTAATATGATATAAATTCGATTTATGAAATCTCGATTGCAAATATGTAAACTTATTTTGCACATTTTTCATTTTTGAGCATATAAATGTATATATCGATTGTTTCTAGATTAATTAGCATATATTTTATAAATTATATGTATAATATTAAATATTGTGCATATTATTGTAAATTATCATTATCGTTAATTATGTCATTTTTAGTCTACAAAAACTAACTGTCGGATCGTCAAAGGTTTGGAAATATCAGCAAAATTATTGTTGTACAGTGTAATCCTGATACTTAAAGTATGCTTAACTTATGAAAATTTAACTTTAATAGATCGAAAACTAATTTATATATTTTTTTTTTTTTTTCATATTCATTAGCATTTATTTGTAATTTAAATTTTATTAAATATTTTCTTAGTATTTTGTTATTTAGTAATTTTGAATACACATTCAAAAGATTATATACATTTTTTGAATTAATATTAACTATTTTTTTTTTTTGCATATATTTGTTGAAAAATAGGTATACCATATATAATACATTTTATGGCATATAATTGCATATTTTGACATTTCTAAATTTTTATAAAATTTTGGTTATTATCATCCGAGCTCTAATGATAACCAAACCTATCATTTGAAGGTGGCCTAGGTGGTTTTTGATTTTTGACAAACCGGATTCTTTAACCAATAGCTTTGAGTCTTGCTTAATATTCACTTCAAAAGAAGTCTCCATAAACAAATTTGACGAAATCGTTTCTAAGTTCTCCACATAGGCGTGTTCAGACTTCGGTGGCCGAAAAGGCATACATTTTTATTAAATCGTGAAACCAATTTTTTTATTTTTTTTTTTTTAAACATGAACAAATATTTATTAATCATGTTCAAATATTCGCAATGATTGGAATAATTTTCAATCAAGACCAAGAAGTATAACCACAGGCGTGTTAAAAAAAAAAGTAAAGTAATAATATGGTATATTTATAATTAAAGTAAAAATGCATACTACTGTACACTATCACACTAAATCACACTACTGTACTATATTTTATTGGAACTCTCGGTATTGTATTAAGTACAGATCATATGACTTTTTTTGACATGATTTTTTTTTTGGAGGTACAGTCCATCGAGGGAGTAGTGCCCACTCGTTCTTTCCCGTAAACACGCCTATGCGAGAAATGTCTAATCGTTAAAACGGACCAACCTTTAAAAAAGATAAATTATTTTTTAGATCAAACAGTAGTAATATAACGTATTTTTAAAAATGAAACGTTAACAAACCTATTTAAACTTGAGTCATTAAAATAACTGTTACTCGTAAGTCGTCACCCGTAGTATCTACTTGTACTCGTATAAACTTTTATGAAACATATACGAACGCAGAGATTTTTTGTTTTGCATTTTGATTTTTTTGAAATCGGTAAAACGATAATATCATTTATGATACATTAATATTTAGCAACTAAACCACATAAATCGATCAATTATAATTAAGTATTTTTTATTAAGATTTTAACAAAAATAACAACTATAAAAAATACGACAAATTTATGGCAAAGCAAATCTTCAAGTGATTATATTTACCAACAATATAAATAAATTAAAATTATTTTCTAATTTATAACTAAAAAAAAAAAAAAAAAATAATGTGCAAAAATAATAGCTATAAAGTTGATTTGAATATTTTGATTTATCCGTAAACACGATGTATAACAATCGATTTTATATTAAACCAATAATCAATATTACAAGTTTTATTTTTAATGAAAGACAATAATACTTTTGTAATATACAAACGATATATAAATTATAAAGAAATTGAGTATAAATTTCAATTTCAAAAGGAATGAAAGAAGTATGATATTAAATAAATAATTTAACAAGGCTTTAGAACGTTATCCATAAACTGTCCCATTATGTTTCCAGGTGGATTATAATTAGCAACGATCACAATTCTTCCTGACTTGCCTTTCACCATTGCTATACCCATGGATTTCGTGCCTTTCCACACAAGTTGGGTAAAATGTCCTGCAATCAAAACGAATTATACGTATTATTTAAGTACTTCGATTATAAAATTGGATAAAACCGGAAATATATTATTATTATAGATTGCGTTCTGATTCGCAGCATTCCTTTCACAGTACTATCTACATATAACCATTTAATTAATTAATTCTAATGATAAATTAGAAAACCAATAATATTGCCCAATGGATGGACAAGTTAATGAAAAAATTAACTTTATTTGGTTAAGTTAACATAAAGAACTTTGAGATATATGTCAATAATTAAATAACAATATATTTCACTTTATAAGTTAAAAATTAATATGGAAAACAAATTTACATAATTCCATTAAAAATATATTTTTATATTGTCACTAGGGTGTGTCACATATGTACGATTGTGTAACTTTCAATTTTTTTAATATTCATCAAATATTTTGTAGAACATGCATCTTATTCCCTCTTTGTACACACTACTGATAGTTATTTAATTATTTGATTTTAAATAGGTTCCTAATTGTAGATACGTAAGTACAAGTGCAAATATAATTCTAATTTAATATATTATTTTTCAAATTAACTGGAAAATATAAAGTTATTATATTGTATTATTAAACTAATTAAGTTATAAAGCCAATTAGATAATTAAAAAGTTATATTTAAGTTAACAGGCTCGATAATTCTTAAAATTTTAACCACTTAATGTCCACCTCTGGTACTGCCTACATTCAATATAAAAAAAATCGTCTAACATATTGTATATTATCGTGGTTGTTTAATACTAATAATACATTCGCTTGCAATAGCCAACCCGAATCATTTTCGAAACCTCACCACAGGCCACAGTTATAATATGTTATATAATTATCCTCATTCAGTAATCGTCGACATCTATAGTCGAATATATACGAGTATGTCACTTGTAACATATTGAGTAAAATAGTTTCATATATTTTCATGTTTATAAAATACTTTCGGATTAACTAAGTCAGGCAATTGTAGTGGCGTTCTGAAGCAAAAGTAAAATGGGCATTTAACAATAACAATTTACTCCAGTGCAACACGAACATTGCTACAATATATTATAAGTGCTTTCCGTAGAACAACAATATCAACAACGATCTCACGGTGACTTTCTAATAATTTTCATGTATAATGAAATAATAGGTACTATACACACTCGGCGATACTTCAGAAACGTTTAATAAATATATGCTTTATCGTTACCTGATTTGAGAATTCTAGGTTCTTTCGAGTAATCGTAATTTTTCCCCTCTTTGTACCAGTTACAAATCGCATCTTTGGCAGTCACCTGGTTTGACGACCACATGCTAAACAAGTTCTCGCCAAAAGGATTTTCCGGCTGATGCATGAACTTGTCATCTTTTGCTAACGTCTTTGCCCACGTGAGCGCGTTACGGCACAACTATAAGATATATACGAACGAAAATATTATATATTACATAATTTTGTGCTAACTTATACCATTAAACTAACTATAACTTATAAAACTAACTAACTTAACTAAACTTTACTTCTAACTAATTACTTTAAACTTATAATGTTTAAGTCGTATCTATATATTATATATAATACAATGCAATATAATTTAATACTCTTTATTCAACAAAGAAAATATATTACAATGAAATTTATATGTGAAAACCTCTTATGCCACAATGTCTTAATCATACAAATTTAACTGATGCGAATCCGCAACACATAAAGCAGTTTTTTTTCAAACCGATAACTAGTTGTTGTTCTAAAATTGAACCGCAAGTCCGTGATGTGGTGTGATTTCCGCACCAGTTAGGATATAACACTGATGTCGTGTTGCATTATTTCATATTAATATCTACGGTTGTATTATACCTATATGACGTATGCGTGTAGACAATGTTATTGCTCACCATTTTGTTCAAAGTCAGTGGCCCAGAACCGTGTTTCAACCGGTAGTCATTATGCAGTTTTAAACTGTCTTTGTACAACTGTTCGTCCGTGTATGAAGACTGTAAAAGAATAGGACTGAGTGGTGTGTCCTTAAAACCTCTAAAACCAAAAGTTACAAAATAATACATTTTGCAGTAATTGAATACAAGTTCGGGTTCGTCGGTGAACGAATAAAAACATTAATATTAATATCGCAATTGACTTCTTACCCGATAGGTGGAACGTTTTCTTTGAACTGTCCAAGGAAATTTCCAGCCGGGTCGTAACAAGCGACGACAAATATTTGCCCTGATCGGTTTGACGCAACGCCAACTCCCATTTCCTTGCTATTCGCCCATATGACCTGAGAAAAATGTCCTGAGAACAAACGAATTAACATTATGGAATTAATAACGTATAACAAACAATTGTTTTCAGTACTAAGATGCCTGATTTTTTTACAGTAGCAGTGACACGGTACGTGTCCATTAGTACCGTCATTTGTATGATGTAAGTGTGTATAATATACACATGTATGATTTTCTTTTTCTAATATAATTTGTGTATACATATTTTATGTTATGTAATTTTTAAAGCAAAACAATAAGTTTTTTTTGTATTGAATAATATAGATATCTATCTAGTCACGTGGAGTAATACAAATTTACGCACGCAAGTTATACATCACAAGGTGCCTACAGATATCTAAACACCAAGCATCAAAAGATCTTAAACGAGAGAATGTTCAAAAGCAAATTTAACTTTGCTCATCGATGTGTACACGTTTTATAGCACAAATTTATAAATACAAAAAATAAAAAATAAATAAATATAAAAAAATAATAAAAAATATAAAAATAATCTTTACATGTCCCCAACAGTACATCTAGCTAGTATAATGATTTCATATACAATTAGCAAGTACTAATATACTGCGGAAATCCGAATATATTATAAATTATATCCTAATTTTATTCTAAAAAGTGGTAGAGACAAATAATTTCAAAACAATATCCATTTTATTGTAATACAAGAGAAGAGATTCTCGGATAGAGAGCGTTTGTTTCTTAGGTTAAAAGAGTTGCATGAATTAAATTATAAAACAATAAAGAATTTATGTTGCCCAGCAACGAAAAACAAATAAATACAATTAATATTTTAATAAATGCGTTTGTGTTCTATATCCGAGGGAGTGATATTATAAAATATTGGTTTCTATAAACTTATCAACATTTAACGTGATATATTAAGAAATGCAAGTGAAATTGTTATTATACCATAACGTTTCATGAATTATTATATATTTAATTAATTCCTAAATATTTCGATATTTTTATTTAATATTCGGTTTAGTGATTGTATAAATATTTTATTACGAATAGTAAAATTCAATACGTAATATAATGTACTTATTATTCTTTTAATTTATACAAAATTATTTTTATTTTATATTTTATGAGTAATTTTCTTAAAAATATTATATCTAATTTTATCGTATTCTAATTTTTTTCTGCCTGTTTCGGGTTTTTGATTGATTTATAGATTTTGAGTGAAGCGAAGAATGTATTATAAATTATTTTTTTCTAAATACTTAAATTAATTAACTTTTGTAATTATCTCTATGTACTTCACCAATAAATAAATGGCAATAATAATTTTAGAAACAAGCTAAAAAAAAATTCCAGAAATAATTATGATGAAATTAGTATTATAAAATAAAATAACTTCTTACAATTATGAATTGTGTTATGCACAGATTCTTCAAGACTATCCATAGCCTACATAATAAAAGCTATAAAGTCATAATTGTCTGTGACAACCCACTTATTTTATTTATATTTTACAAGTCCGTATTTGATATGTTCTAACACCGTCCATCTTCTATGTATGTAAGTGTTTTTATTTTTATTTTTTTTCTGCCTTCATTAGAACATTACAGTAAATGTAAGTATTTATATGTAATTTTTATACTTCTATTTGTATTTCTTAAACTACCGTTGAGTTTTATTGAGCACAATTATGTACTGTTCCTCGATTTATTTGATAGGGTATAAAAACATTGAAGAGTAAGTCAAAATCGAACAAAATAATGGAATCATAATAGCACCCAATAAACTATTAATTAATGATTAGTTTTAAATGTATAACATTTAATGGTGCATTATATTTAACAGCAATCATATGCGTTATGTCTACTACAAACTGTTTTAAGTTTATATTATGTGAGTTGTGTACATTACTATGTTCCTTAATTATATTTATTTATACTAAAAGCATGATTATATGTTTTATCCTGCATGGAAAAGAGCTATACTATTTAAAAATAACGAATGTAAATTTTAACTGAAAAAAAAAAAAGTTGAAATAAATTACATTCAGCACGAGTACATAATTACAAAAAGATGAACTTAGAAAATGAATAGCTTTTAGCACATTTTAATAATTTATACCATAGTGAAATATAATATTAAACAAACATACAGAATTAAAGTACACAGAACACGTAGAAAAGTGTTAATTTTTATAAAATTATAACGTCGTACTTATATTTGTACACACACGCATATTTCGTTTGAAATAAAACCATTAAGTGTATATTACAATGAATTTTAAATTATATTTTGCTTTGTTACCTGCAGTTTATTATAAATGAAACAGACGTATGGTGTGTAACAAAAACTCTCGACACGCCGTAAATATTATCTAACACAAAACCCACCGCTGGTCACAGTAGAAAATAATGTAATAACTATATTATTATTGTGACGTAGAGTAATAAAACCAACATTACGTATCCATTAATCGCAAATACTTCATATATTTTACTCATCATAGTCTGTATGAAAACTAATGCTTTTATTGGTCAACACATCAATGACGTAACACAGGGAATAAACTTCCAAGTATTTTAAAAACTATCAAATAAGTTACAAACTCGATACACAATAAACCTAAAGGAAATACAACGGTCTTATATGTATATGAAATTTATCTGTTTACATTATTATTATAAGAAAGCCTTAGCATTTTCAATAGAAGAATATATTTTAGGGCATATTATATGAGAGGGGTACATCTGCCAATTAGCACACGAATCATCACCTGATTTTAAGGTAGTCGGTTCACGGCCGAACGGATGAAACTTAATTTCTTCGTACCAGCTGTCCACTGGTTCTCTGCCTTCGATTCTGTGGTTGGGTAACGATGTCCATGAGCAAAACAAATTCTCACCGTACGGCGATGATGGCCTGTGCTCGAGTAATCCTTTGATACTCAAATAATTTGCCCATTCTTCTGCATATTTACATAGCTATGCAAAATACATCAATAATAATGTAATTTAATTTTCACCTTATGTCAAGTAATATTCTCTGAGTTAAAAAACGAAACATAACAATTATATATTTTGTTTTATTTGCAATCATAAATTTACTAATATTAATTCCTATTTAAGTTGGATTCTATAAACAGTAGACCAACATGATAAAATGCATTGATATGAAAAAACATTTGAATTAATTAAATGCAATCTAACTAAGAATGAATAATTTGTTTTAAGTTTATATTGCTTAATGAGACGTTTGAACATGTAAGGGTAATTTTAGAATATCAATATATCATTGGTAAACATGTAGGTGATAAAATTATTAGGAAAATAGAATTGTTAACATATTACCAATAGAAGCAATAAAATCAAAAAAACCCTTCAATAAAATATTTTATAGACTCGTGAAAATGTAAATATACCTACCTCAAACAAATATTTACACCGAAACAAATATATAAAATAAATAAATAACAACATAACAAACACTACAATATCGAGGAATGCAAATTAGTTGAACTCGTAAATGCAAATTTCCTCATTCATTCATAACACAAGAGTGAACACGAGTCACTTTACTAAACGTCAATCATATGTTCATAATAATAAATACAATAAGTAATAATACGAGTAGTAAACACATTATTACATAGTAACAAGAGAAACAAGAACAATTTACATAAAATATTTTTTCTATCATTTTGTCTGCTGACCACGAAGTGAAAGCACACTTGTCACGTTTTATTATGCGGTTTTGTTTTCCCTTACTATGAATGTACCATATAGTTGTACTTCGGAAACCCTATCTACTGCGGCGGCGGAAGTTTCAATGGCCTTCATCGTCCAAGACGAGTAGAGGCATTGTTGTCTTGTCAACGAGTAATTTATCCGAATTTTTCTATTACAAAGATTACATACGACGGACATTAAAAATAAAAATTATGAAACTATGTACGTGTATAAAATATATACATTATAAGTATATGCTATACCTAATACACAAAAAAAAACAATTTTGTCGAGAAAATATTTTCATCGATTTCTTTCAGTTTATAAAACATGACGTACGTATGAAAAAGGAAACAAATTTAAATGTATTTGTAATCACTATGAATTGAAAGTATGTTTACATCAGGGTTGCAATTTCGTACTCATTATCATGCAATACTGGAAATGCTTACCTTTTTATTCAGGCTCATTGGAGGAACTGAGTGCTTTTTCCTATACTGATTGTGTGCTTCTAAACATTCTTGTGTAAATGTGATATTGTCAATAAGTACTTTCTTTTGAGATTTTATAGCTGTGCATTTCTATAACAGACAAAACAAACCGTTTCTTTTAAATTATCAAATACACGTAGGTACGACGTGTAGGTAACGACCATATTGATATTATAGTGTATTTAGTAACCTATTATGAATTCATAGTTTGATAACATTTAAATTAAGTAAGTACATTAATACGGATCATAATAAAATAAGCAATTTTTTTTTTAGTAAATATAATAATAAATTTAATCTATTTACCAACTAGAAAACGGTACAAACTACAAATTGAACTATTTATATTATAATAATTGTAAATACTTGAAGAAATAATTATACTAATTATATTTTTATTTAACATTACCTACTGATAAAATTGCGTAAATTAACAAAGGCCACTATATGTAAATGAGATATATAATACTGAACGTAAAATGTTTTCGTAATAATCTTGAAATTCATATAGGTATTATAAATATATTATTTTGTTTGATTTGATCAGAAATTATGCATGTGTTTTTCCTTTGTTTATCAATTTTTCGGATTGTCATCACAAAATGTTTATTAGTAATTATGATACAACAATCATTTATTTTTGACAAACAATAAGTTCCAATTTCAATTCATACTCAATTTTGTATTGTGCAATCAATTCTATTCGGTAGCGTGATTTAGGGCATGTGTGTAATAAATACAATATCGGTTTACTCAATCCAAGAGTAACATATTTATGCGTCCTTCCGTAATGCTTACGAAGTATAGTCGATTTGATTTAAGGGAAATAATATCGTATACATTGTGTATTATATGTCTTGTTATTTTCAACTATTATTTCATAGTTGTAAAATATTAGTTTCTTTTTTCAATTTCAGTAGGTACTGAAATATTATCTGATAAAGAAATTACATTTTTACAAGTAAAACACCAATTTAATAATATGCGTGAAAATGTTAGATGTTTTAATAGTTATGTTAAATCATTTTTTTCCTAACTTTTTCTAGATCTATGTTTTTTTAATCAATTAGGTAATACATTTAAAAATAATTACAAATTCTTATGTTGTTTGTGAATAAATTTAAGCTTGGTGATTATGCGTCCTTGCTTTATTTTAAACAACATGATCACTTGAGTGCAGATCTGTCGGCATTGTATGACAAGGTTTTTATGTATGTGCCTCAACATCGATACGTGATCACAAGGTAGTCGCATGCATATCAAGCACGCACAAATGTCACTTTCATGATACTTTCAGTATATCAATCTAAAGTTATAATTAACACATCCTATTACAGTCATAATACATATAAGATCAATCCAGAGCTAGAACAGCATCGAATAAAAAATGACAATATTATTAACACGTTTATCTGTATAATATTTTCACGATAATATACATTTTATATACTTGAGTTTTCATTTTATAAAAAATACGCAATATTTTTTTCTCTGTTTACATTTGAAGTATTTTCAATATTTTTTAAACAAATTATTTCATCATTGTTATTATCATCAATTCTCCAATATTTATTTTTGATTTTTTTTTTTTTGTAATTATTTTTATTTAATACTAATATATTATATAACAGTAATAACTAAACTATTTTTTTCTAAATTTAGTTAACACGTTTAAAGAAATTTAAAATTATGATGACTTCTTGTACGGTTCGAGCTTCACTGATATTTTCCCACAATATATTAATTGTTGGAAAATTATGGAAATTATCTTAGCTAAAATAATAATTTTAAAATATTATAAAAGTTAAATTACTTGTTTGTATGAAGTCTTTAATTCTGGTGAAGAAGTTGATGACCTGGACGACAACGATGATAAAAAATCATCTGATCTATCTACCAAAACAAAAATTTTAATACATTTTTATTAAACTCAAACATTTTTCGTAACAATTATTGAAAGTGACTTAAACGTTGTTATAGTTGTTGTTGTTGAATTGTTGTATCTTCGAATAATATATTTCACAGTTGTGACATAACGACAACAAAAAATGGATTCTTATACGACGAGAGAATTATTTCTGGAACGAAATTGAGAGAGGAACTGTTGCGTGAAGATTAAATAAACAATTGTCAGATTGTTTTCAGTGTCATTACCACGAAACATATAATATTACCAGTTTATTTGAAGATTAATGCATAAGCAGAAACATTTAATATACCATAGACTGTTTGTTACGTGATAATAAATGTATTAACCGAGGAAAAATGGTTTTCTATTTTAAAGTATATTATTGTAATATTTCATAAATCTATTCTAATAATCTTCTGTATAAATACATATACAAACCTAATTTGTGATCAATGGATTCTTCTACATTTTTCGTTTCAGAAGTCACTTTTCTTTCGGTTTTGTTACCACGAAATGTCTGAACGGTTTCTTTGGTAAGTGTCTCAAATTTGGGTTTCTAAAAAATAAATGAAAAATGTTGATCTTATTTAAAAGAATAATAAATTAATATAAAAATACAATAATATCAATATATCTTATGAATATATATTTTCGATATTTTAATCCTACTTACTTATAATTAATTAGAATCTTTATATCACCCTAGTAATAGTTGACCGTAGTTTATATACTACAGTATCTACAGACTAAAAGGAATATCAATTCATAATTCTTGGAAAAACATTTATAATAAATCTATTTATTTTTTTACTGTCGAGTGCTTAGTAATATACATATTAGATTAAATAAATTATAAATATATTTAATTATAGTTATAAGTTAAGTATCAATATCAATTTATAATTAAATCATAAAATGTAATAATTTCGAGAACATTTTTATAAACGGTAAAAGATTTTACGCATAAAGGACAAAAACAAAACTATCAACTGAATCGTCATCGATCAGTGGTTTATTTGATACAGATGATTTAATATTAAAATAATTTAAAATATAATTTAATAACGCACCTGTCCCAATTTTGTCGGGGCGACAAATATCCTCCGTTCTGTTTTTCTAGTCATAACTACTCGACTGTGACCTTGATTAAAGTCATGCCCATGGGTGGAGTCCTGAAAAGATGTTAAGTCGATGGAACTACTCGGATACCTTTGTCTAGGCAAGCAGCGTAATCTAAAAAATATCGATCGTTAATCGATTTTAATTGAAGCAATTGGTCATTTTTTAATCACAAAAATTATTTATATTAGTCATGCTATATAATATTATATCAAAAATGTAACCAACCCATAAACAATGGTAATAAGTTATGTATTATTTCACGATCATCTTCATAAATATAGTTAAACATTATTCAATACGGAGTTATCGTGAAAATGATTTACACTGCTGCAAAACTAATGTTAACTTTAATTATTTTAGTGGAATAAAGAAAGAATTTATTATATTATTTTATTAAAAGAGAATTTAAAACAATTTTATAATATTACTGTACGAGAACTTTACTTTAAAATAAACTGATGATTTTATTAAAGTATTGAATAATAATGAATATATTATAATTGTTATGATAAATTAACATTATAATACCGGGTAATTAAAATACATAACGCTTCTATAACTGTTCATTCACTTATGATTAGTGTTATATATTTAAAGTTATTATAATAGTTCTAAAATTATGATATTTCAATAGAAAATATTTTATGAAGTGAAACGCCGTACCATGACTCGCACACTTCAATATTTCAAATTTAATTCTGGTATGTGCCGGAAATATGTGTTCAAAACAGTTATGAATAATTTTAACCATGTCTAATTGTTTTCCTCGAATGAAAATTATACGCATTTCAAAATGATGCCTAAGTTTGAATTCATTAATTTTATGCGGACGGACAAATTAAAAACTTTTGATCTATATTATACACTATAACTTTGCACTACTTGACCATATACCATGATAATATATTTTATTTAATTACTTTTGTTAACATGGTTATTTAATTAGGATTTTCGTTGTTATATTACCGTATAACAAGCCCATAGAAATATTTGAAAATTTAGATTTTAAGATGCAGAAAATTAATTTTAATTCGCAAAAGTATAGAAATGATTTGTGTTGCTAATTTAATAAATCCTATCTAAATCTTGGATTTTAATGTTCAAGAACAACAATAGAATTCACTAAGACTTGATGAAAAATGGAAAAAGATCCAATAAATAATGTTTTGTACAAGAATCATGTAATTCGGAGTTTATTTTTAGCTCACGAGGAACATAGCGTATCTAAATAAAAGGTGCCAATTTAAAATGCATTAAATTCGAAATTCTGATGGTACCTCAAACATTTCTCGTGATCATTTTAATGCTTGTTAATAATTGGCTACACATTTTTCAAATTCCCTATAATATACCCAGCATAACAATTTTTTTGAAAAAATATTTTTATCGTTTGAGTATACAAAACTAGAATACATAATTAAAAACGAAGAAAATACAAAATATAAACGATATTAAAAATTTATAATTGTGAAACGTACCCATGTGTATGTACCATAATTCTATAGATTAATGAATGAAGATCACGTTACGGTTTTATAAACCGTAGATTAATAACATACTGATAACGAAATTTCTACTTGTACTATATCATATATTTTCGTCTGTTTGGTATTAAGAAGAAATAACAAATAATGAAAGAAGTTTATATCAAGTTGTCATAATATATATTTTTAATTAATAAAACTTGAAACATAATTATAAATAATTAATTATGTAATATGTTTACTGATAATTAAATAAACAACATTTTAAAGTAATTAAGCACCTTAAACAGTTTTAAATTCAATTTTATATCACATACACGTGTTTATATCACTTTAGGTCCGATGAAGTTTGGTAAGAACCACAAAATACTCTTCTATTGGTTTAAAAAGAAAAATGTTATTAATTATAAATTACATATATTATTCAAATAATATTATCATAGTAATAACGTTATTATTTATATCGTTCGAAACTGTATATAATCAAAAACAGAGGGGCAAAAAGTTAAGCGTTTCAACGCAGGTGGCTACAAAACACATTTTGATTAAAAGGTGAATAAATATGGTGTAAAGTATTATACTTATATTCGACAATGTGTTATTAATTCCAAATTTACTATGGAATATATACTAATGATAAACTATTAATTTTCAAGTTATAAGTATGAGAATTATAACTATTTAAGAAACTCATATTTTGCTTAAAATTAAAATATCATAAAAATCGACCAACAAAACACAAATAATGTTCTTTTCTTTTGTGTTTAACAGTTGTCATTTGACTCTAAGCGTTTAAGGTAATAACAATACATTTAAACTACTGGACACAAATGTATATGTTTGTACGATGGAAACAACACATGCTAGTGTGAGGTGTCATCAAAAGATAAAAAAAACATACAAAAAAACGAACCGCTTTTTGACTGTATTTTATGATATTTTCTAAAATAAATATTTCAAAACTTATTGGTTTCAAACTTGAAACTGACCAATAAGTGCGATGACATACTGTCAAAGTTCTACCGTCGAACCTAACACTCTTCGATACGATTGATATTATAGTAATTTCGAATAATTCCCATCGTTTCCCAATTCTATGCACCGCATAAATACATATATATATATATATATATATATATATATATATATATATTATTATATATATATATATTATTTAGAAAATAAAAATGAATTAAAAAAAAAATCATTAACTAGCTACTAACCTTTCGACATCTGATCTAGACGGTTCTTTAATCACCATGTTATAGCATTTAATTAATTCAAATGGAAAACTACTACAACCATAATGGAATTCGATAGTACATTATATTATATTATATGTTATGTTGACACCGCAGACCAACTAATGAAAAGGTATGTTATTATATGAAAATACTAAGCCACTAGCAAAAAATAATATCAAAACGCTTACGAATGCAGCAGTAGTATTGACGCCTAATTCGTACGACACGTAGAGCGAACTAGCAGCGACTTAGACATACCGCGTGAACCGCATTTGAGCGAGTGATTTGAGCGCACAACGAACTATTCCATACACCTCTCTCTATACCTGTTCCGAATCGTCGCGCTCCTGTGCGCATGTTCTTTACCGAGACATTTATTGTTTTTTTTTTTTTTTACTTTTACAATCCATACCATTTTTACGTTTTTACTCAATGCAGATGCTATAAAATAATTTATTATACGTAAGAATCAGTAAACAACTGTCTTCAAACAACGACGACGGGTAAAAATATGCAGCTACAATAGGTCTGCCCACATGATGTCTTTTACCGGACAACATTTTCCCTTGCCAGCATCATAGTCTATGAAGTTAGTGTCTAAAATTTTGCACAGTACTGCAATGATAAGTATACAGTACAAAATCAAAAACTGCACAGAAAAAGTCGTAGTCATTTCCTATTGGAATTTTTACGATAAGAAATATAGGTTTCGTTAAAGTTTGTATAGACCGGTTGATTTTATTGATGATACATGTTTTTTCTTTTAGTATATTCTTGATTTGATTTCCCACCCTATAAGATATCATGAGAAGTTTTTGAAATTAAAAATTAAATAATTTCATACGAATATTGCCGTGATCAGAATCTATAATATATATTTTTCAAGTTCAAATGGAATAGGAGAATATGGGCTAACTTATAATTTAAACAAACTTAATATATGTTTTTAACAATCGGGTGCAATCCTTGACAAATTTTAAATACAAGTATTTTGTTTAATTCATAAGTTTACAAGTGGAAGAATATTACTGTCTGTAAAATTGAAAAAGAACATAAAATAGTGATGTAGGAAATGCATTCAATCCAGGTACTAAATAATAATATTTAAACAGTTGCTTATATGAAAGAAAAATACAACATTCAGATAACACTGAAAAAATAGTAATAGATTATTAATTGTAGTATACTCTGCAATTCAGTATGGAATCAATCTTTAAGTAGAAAAATAAAATAATTGTTTAACCAATTGTTCAAAATTGCAATTTAAATCTTACGACTGAAACAGAAACTCAAATGTTGAACAGTGAAAACAAGCCAATAGAACAGTATAATGTAACACTTAGAATATACATTTACATTCAGACAATATTTTTAGTACATCAATTATAAATTTAAAACATAATACATACAATAATGTGCAAATTATTTATAATAACTGCACATTTGTTTTTACCGATTACAAATCCACAATACAATAGGATATGATCATACGTAATTAGCAGCTTTATTGTATTGTTTTCGTTCATGTATCCGTTGAAATATCTCATTATTTAAGTATTGTTTTGGCAATTACAATTTGTAAACATTTTTCTACTCTTCAAATCACATCAATATATATATATATATATATACTACGTTGTGTTGTATACGATAAATTAAATATATGTATAGACTCTAATTTGTTTTATTGTTTAAAATTCATGTTTTTTAAAATTAAAAAATAATTACCTTTACATAGGTATAAACATTAGACAATTAATACTTTGTCTAAATTTAAAAAGCTCAATATATTTATACTTTCGTATCTACAACAAAAAAATAAATAATTACTAGTTCCAAGTATAAATATTTTAGTTTAGTATACTTCCATTATGTAAATTTAAAAGTATTAAAAATCATATACAGAAAATCTAGCGGAAATCAATATAATATATACAATATATACATGATACATATTATAAATTTATTTTCAATGTGTTAGCAAACGTAATTTTAACTAAAGAAAATGAAAATGTAATAAATTATCATATAATGTTTTAGAAAAAAATTATAAATAACGATTACAATGAGGAAATAATATAAAATATGTGAACTTCACTAAATCATCTGAATTTTTTAATACTTCGATAAAATAGAGTGTCTTGTATAACATTTTCTAATCATATGCAATATTAACTTATTATTTTATTAAAAGTAATTTTTTTCATGCATTGGAATCAGACATTACGATTATCACATCAAGTTAACTACCATGCAACACAAATGTAAAAAATCATATTTAATTAATGAATGATATTTACGAGTATTTCTAACAAAATAGAATTTCTTGTCATAATATTTAGTTAGGTTGAATGAAAGTGCATTTAGAGTTGTTATGGTAAAAACAATTCTCACGGTACGAATTACAACATACATAAGTATTAAAGCATTACATTTTAACTACAATATTCGTTTAACCAAATATATTATCGCAGTACTATATAGATAAGTAGTATTCCAATATCCATTTATCTCCTCACTACTATAAACATAGATTTAATATAAATTATTAATTATTTTTAATTTTTATATAATTGCAATTATATAATTACTAGGTATTATACATTAAAATTAGAATTACAAATTAATATAAACGATATTAAGGGTAATCTATTATCATAAAATAATATAGTTTAAGAATATTATACACACAAAGCTATATAAGTTTTTTAATGGGTCGATACCTAATATTGGTTAAAAATATACCTAAATAGATACTTATTAAAATATACGAATAAAAAAAATCAATTTATTTTATAAAACGTTGTACGATATTTGTACGCGTTTATTAAATAATTGACAAAGTGACCAGACTAGGGCTATTGGAAATGTTGAATACCACAGAATTCTAACCTGTAATTGATATTATATGTTGGTTTAAACTAGTAGGGTATTCCTAATAGTATACCTATTACCTACTCGTATATAGGCATAAAAAATATACGAAGAGAATAGTGACAGCGATGAGTGCCAATTGTCCTGTAAAAAAGCCAATTATAATTGGCCACCCATATGATTAGTCACTAACATATATACGGGTACTTATTAATAAATATTTTTTCCTGTTTTCACTTTTCTAAACCATTCAAAGTCTCTTTTCTAAACTATTTTCTATGTACAATGAGTAATCGGCATAAGATGTCTTAAATAAAATTATGATTGAAAAATGTATAAACAAATACTTCTAGTACATGAGTAACCTTAACTAAAATAAACCTCTAAAAAAATAAAGTCATTGAAATTCATCTTTAACGAACACTAAATAAAATACAATTATTCTACGGAATATTAAGAATATTTTATTGATATCACTTTATAAGTAATGTATTACACAAATAAACTGCAAAACCACGTATTCACAAATCCATGACCGTACATTCGAAATAGCTTTTTTTTAATAGTTTTAATTTCAATACTTCAACGAAAAACAAATATCAGTCATGTAACTAAATTAAATGAATTCTAAAATTAATAAATAATAACATTTGTAAAACCTAAAGGCAATTTTATTGTATTCTATAGCTAATTATTTAAATGTTTTGTAAGACATCATAGTTCCCCTCCCAACTGTGTGACATAATTATTTATCTTGCTAGTGTTCCCAATATTAATTGCTTAATTAATTCATTAATATACTGTGCACTACTCATGAACTGTACAAAAACTCGTGTAAACTCGAATAATGTTCATCTTTAGAAGTGTAAATAAATTGAACGTAATTGATCACAATTATTACGTAGGCAGACAATATCCCGGGACCTCCACCAGGATAGAAGGTAACATGCGATTTTAAAATGATTGCCTCAGATACAAAGTAACGAAAATATAAAAACACGTCGACTTAAATAACTGAAAGGATACCATTTTTATCTCTCTCCTTAGACTCGGTCGAGTAATCGTTGATCACGGAAGCGCGTTGTAACTATTTTTCTACCAGCGGTCACTTATTTTATACACACACTTTTGTAACTGCAATACTATTACAAGAAGCACACACCATCTCCGTCGTAATGATCATTATTCGTCATTATTATTATAATAATGAAAACTAGCATGAAGGTGATGACCGCTATAGCTGTGTCTATGTATCCGGATATAATGGCATTGTACCATGTAACGGTATCGAGAATCACTAAGTGTATAACAGTGTGTTGTAAAGTTAAGGAATACGTTAAAATGTTAACTTTTATATGAATAGCAGGGGGAGGCTAGTATATGATTAGGTACTTTCTTAATGATTATATAATATGACAATTAATAATAATATTTAATATCAATTATACTTTAGCAGTCATATTTAATTTTTTTTCGATCATTATTATGTATCGATGATAAAATATATTACATAAAAGTAAGTATACAATAATGATGTAATATATTGGAGAAATTTTGAAATTTTTCTAAGATATTTTCACGACCTTATAAATAATATTTCTGCTCAAATTTGGGGTGATCTGATTTAAATATCTCCAGTAACATTGAATTAATAGCGCACTGTATACGTATAACTTATACATAACATAAAACGGCGGGTGCCAATACACACAAGTTGCAATTAACATTGATTAAATAGGAAAATTGGACTATTCTGTTCACCTATTTGATATAATTATATTTATAAAAGTAATGGGCTGCTGTTATTTTATTGTATGTTATTTATAGGTTAAACTAAACCGGGAACATTACTCAATAGATTTTGAACAAATTATACAAATTAAAATATCGATTTAGTGATGTTTTAATATATTTTTAAAAGTGAAAAACAAATGTAATTTTAAAAAATTACATGGGGTTCTGAATTCTGTTACTGCTATTTGCAGTAAAATATTTTTATGGCAAAACAATATTATATAATTTATTATTATACACATATTGAGTGCAGTAGTAAACAAAGAATGTGCAATAGAAATTACATAAATAAGCAGTAATTACTTATATCAATTTAATCTGTTTGATCATTTTGTTATAATAGGCATAATATATTTAATCATATTATAATCCCTGTTTTATACTTATAATTACAATAAAATAGACTAGCAATTCCGGTTCTTGGGTGAGCCATGTAAATAAAAATGGTTTTTCGTGCAAACCAATAAAAGGACAAAATTACGATGGATTATAAAAACTTCTAATCAGTTTTTAATTCGAAAATTAATATTTTCACAAAGCTTTAGGAATGCAATGAAATTGCAAATTCAAACATATTTTTTTTTCGTGGTAAAAATAGTAAATTATATTATTTTGTAGTAGTTAT